TGATAAATTCGGAAAATTGTGAAACTCACGTCTGCCCATATTCTTTTTGTGTAGAAGCAGTTTGGTTGCGAAAGCAGCAACGACATTTTTTGTTTTAATTAAATTTAGTTCATCGCCTTGCAGTTGGAGATTCATGTCGTTGAACAATTTATACAGGTCTGTCATGTAAGCTATATCATTCTTTGATGTAATGAGCTTGTTGCGCAATTCTGTATCTTTAGTTTCCAAGAACTCTATCACAGAGTCAAACAGGTTGTAAAATCGAGTCAGACAATTGCCTCTTGATAGCCCGTTGGCTACTGAAGTTCGTTAACTTCAGTATGAAACAACAAATGGTTGAAATCTTCGTCATTAGTAACACAAAGCTGATGAAATAATCTATCATTCAAAGAGCTGTTGTTAAGGTTCTATACCCATAGATCATATATTTATACTGGCCGCATAGTTTTGTTTATAGCTGTACTTGTGTGTGTAACTCTTTTTTTCCATCCTCTAAGGTGTAACTGATATTTATCGTCTTGTTCGCCATTCCAAACTGCTGTTACGGATTTTATTGACTGCTTTGATGACATATTGTAGTGATTGAAATAGTCGTGCAACCAAATGTTGTCTATGAATAACGCAATGTACAGCAAGGACATCTTATGTCCTTATCCGTATATATCCACCCTGTCATAGCCGGAGCGCCATCCGTAGCAACTGATATAATATTTTTCAAGGGAATCTCTTTCTCATCACAAAATTTTTCCAATGTATTGAATATGGTTTCGCCTTTTATATCGGTCTCTAAATTTCTAGCAAATCTTTAATAGACCTCACGTAAGACAGCAACAACGCTTCATTAGTTGGTAAAGTGGACTCATCGAGCTGAATTGAGAATTGACTAGTCCTCAGATGATTGCACAATGATTCTTCAATGTTTTCAGCCATTTCATCAATTTGTCTTTGCACACAATTATTACTCAAAGGAATTTTTCGGATAATATCTGAGGTTGGTTTATGAAGCACAGTTATAATTATAAGTCAATGAGCACAGTAGTTATTACTTCCTTTATTGCTGGCAAAATCAACTCTTCTCCGATGATGTGTGGTTTGCTTTTTTGAGCAATTAACAAAGAGATTTTGTACGAAACTCGAAATCCGTCGTCATCTTGCTTAGCAGATGCCGAAAACTTTGCTACACTTGGCTGAGTATTATGCTTCTTCTCTAGGTCTTGAAAATATGCTACATTTTTGTCTTTCTTATCTGGATGCATTTTATTCAAATTCAAATTTTACTTTCGACATTGTTTTGTTTTGGGAAATACGTAAGTAACTGCTTATCTATTACCCGCGAAACAGCAAATGAAAATTGAATAAATATTACGTTGTTTACATACGATTGCATAAGCAGCACGCACCGACAGGAATAAGACAAACATGCATAAACTCGTTTATCTCATTCGACGCTCAATCGTACTCAACAAGTAAGAACAAGTACTCTATGAACCAGCCGATTGATTCAGGAATGCACAAATCTGGTTATTTAACAAAAACTTGTTAAAACATGATTGCCCGCGGTCTATTATCTACGAAAAAAACCTATCTAGGAATACTAATAACTATTAAAATGCGAAACTGTGTCTGTTGCTTATTTATTTGTATGTTTGTGTCTACTTTCATTTCGAAACGGAGCGACCGATGGACATGATTTTTATTTTATTTATTCAATAAAACAGGACAGATTTATGAATTACACGGAGAGAAATATCGAACCGAGTTAGTTTCAACAATATCTGAATTAATATTAGTTGATGTTCACAAGTTGTAGTCGAGAGTCGAGAGCCCAGTCGGTGTCTATTAGTCTTCCTAGATGAAATTACAAATCTCCCTCTAAGCCTCTAGACAACGCCCCACTTCTTTTCTGGGTTTTATTTAGGCCTGCGGCGCCCACAAGGGGGCGTTATCGCCTACTTTGGCAAAGGGCTGGTCTAGGTGATACCTAAACTAAGTAAAATTGTTTACTTGTATCTTAGGTATCCAAATCGGTGATTGTAGTATAATGATTATTAGTATAATAAGATTTTGGGGTAATAAGTGTATTAGTCAATATTATTCTGTATTTCCTTATTCCGTGATTTCACGCTACTATTAATAATTTTTACGCTACTACTGGCGAAAAAAGAAACTGAAATTAAATCAAACATAAACCTTAAAACTTTGTTATTATTAAACCATTTGTATGTTCTTTGTACGAACATGCAGCATTTAGAAGATGATTTGTTCAAGGTCAGTCATGTGTATATGTTGATTATAGATATATACTTTAACACTTAAACCAGAACTTAGGACGCAATTATGCATTTTGGTTGGGAAAAATCAAAAAGATTGAGTATTGTTTTTATATATTAAATAAGTTTAAATACCTACCGAGACTATGGATAGTGGAGAAGTGTAGCCGCTAACTCTTCTAAGTGCAAAAATCTGACATCTATTTTACTCATACTTATTATCATCTTTTCAGGCTCCGCTCCCAGCGCCTTTGTGGCTAGATACATTCGAAGCTGTAGATAAACATATTATGTGCCACCAATCAACCTTATCTCCCCTTCCTCGAACAAGTATACTTCAAGATGACTGCCTTATCACAAACGTATTTGTTCCTGATACAGAACAAACTAAATTACCAGTTATAGTCTATGTGCACGGCGGTGCTTATCAGATAGGTTACGGGAATATGTTCACACCAAAAGCCTTAGTCAAAAGCAAAAAAGTGATTGCTGTCACATTCAACTACCGTCTCGGAGCACACGGTTTTCTCTGTTTGGGCACAGAAGATATACCTGGGAACGCCGGAATGAAAGACCAAGTAGCGCTACTGCGCTGGGTACAGAAGAATATCGCTAAATTTGGTGGTAACCCTAATGATGTGACTATCGCAGGTTATAGCGCCGGCTCGTCCGCAGCTGATCTACTCATGCTTTCGAAGTCCACTAAAGGATTATTTAAAGAAGTAATTCCAGAAAGTGGTGCCAGCGTTGGAGTATGGTCGGTGCAAATAGATCCTCTAGAAATCGCCAAGGAGTTTGCAATTAGTCAAAACTTCACGGACGTGGACGACTTTTACGCACTGGAAGAATTTTATAAAAGTGCCCCGTTTGAAGTATTAACGTCAGCAAATTTTTTAACTAGATCTGACTCGACTTTCATGTTTGTTCCTTGTATCGAACGCTATACTGAGACCGAAAGATTCCTTGATGATGCGCCCGTAAATATATTGAAAAGTGGAAACTATAATAAAGTTCCATTATTGTATGGATTTGCAAATATGGAGGGTCTGCTACGAGTACAAATGGGTTACGATTTGTTTACATATAAAATGAACTCCAAGTTTTCCGATTTTCTACCAGGTGATTTAAAATTTGAAAGTGAAGCACAGAAAGAGGAAGTAGCAAAACAAGTAAAGGAATTCTATTTCGGAGACAAAGTCATTGGTGACGAAACTATATTGGCGTACATTGATTACTTCTCTGATGTTATGTTTGCATATCCCACTTTAAGAGCCGTAAAATATCACGCAGAGGCAGGTAATAATCAAATATATCTCTATGAATACTCTTTTCCTGATGACCAAATACTGCCCGAATCAATACAAACAAAAATTAGAGGTGCACATCATTGTGCACAGTCAGCAGCCGTTTTCGATTCACTTCCTGAAGGCAACGAATGGGCGCCTCCAGAAAATAAAAGTGAGGACTTTAAACGACTAAAGGCAATCATGAGGCAACTGTGGCTGAACTTCATTATAACAGGGTATTGTTAATGTTTTATTAGATACGTTTCTCATCTTCATTGCGTTTCGAATACAATATATTTGTTAACGGGGATATTCACTAGTTTTCGTGGTGAGCTACATTTTTTATATAATTAATGAGCTCATCTCTCATGCAAATCCATGAGATGTGCACTAAGGAGAATAATCCCTTACTCCGCCTATACTTTACGTATCTTGCCCCATTATCTAATATTCAGGAGCAGAAAATGTGTTTGACGGGATTTCTCATACATTTAGTGATATCTCAGAAGTAAAGGAATATTGAAGAAGAATAAACATAAATAATAGATTAATAAAAAATAAATCTATGTTTTCTTTATATAATAATTAACATCCAAAGAAGAATAGGAAATGAAGCTATTTTTTCGGATCTAAATTGCGTATATTGGTTTTTCTAACAAAGAATATATAAGAATAAAGACTATAACCGTGATCTGTAAAATGGTAAAACCGAAACGTTGCGTTGGTTTGTTTGAAAACAAAAAGAAAACAAGAATCATTCAGGTAAATTGTGCGCTCTTTAGTAATTTAGGGCTTACTGCATATAAAATGTAAAAGTTAAGAACATAAAGGTATTACTTTCAAGTAAAGCATTTATTTGGCTCTAAATTTAAATAAAAACAAAAAACACGCGATTTTTTTTCCTATTAAGAATAAACGATCTAAAATCGGAATGCGTTCACATGACCCGCATTGTGGGAAACTGTACGCACCCTTATGGGGTAAGTAAGGGATATGTGGGTGCATTATTTGCTCATGGTCAAAATAAATATAATAAAAAGTATTCTTTATTAAAAAAACCTAAACGTGTTGTATTGTATTGTTGACATTACTTACTATATGTAATATAAAAATATTAAAAGTAGAAAAAAATATATTTCATTAACATCTTATCACCTTAGAAACTGGTGTAGGTTTGAGTGGTATGACGATTAGGCACTGAAATATAAAATAAAAGCATGTCAGAAATATTTTATAAATGAATGGACGAAAATACTACAATCGGGGCAAGGGTACGCACGTGCACCCTTTACCCGTGCAAACTTTCCTTAGAGAACCGAATTGCAAATGAATAATCACAAAATATTTGGAAATGAAACAGTCTGAAACTTTTTTACAAATATAGCGTAAATCTGTTCATAATTAAAACAAAACTTATTGTTATGAGATAGAAAATACAGGCGCTACATTATTTTTTGAGATAAAAACAGATTTTTGCTTAAAGAAGGTTAATCAGTGACCGCGTGTTCATGTGCCAAATCGAAACTAATTAGTCACTCAAGCGCCTTGATTTGACCCAAACAAACCGCTACCTCTATTCTTCGGTTCCAGAGATAGCTCCTGCGCACACTTGCCCCCTGCGCTTAGTCACTCCAAATGACTCTACACGATTTATATCCGAAAGATAGTTTTATTTTCCTATGTGTAATAATCCGCAAACCTAAGAAGTCGAAATGCAAATAAGGTGTTTTCTTGAGATATTGTTTTTAATGGGGCTAACATATTCAATAACGATCAACGCCCCTAAATAAATAAAGAGTAAAAATATATGCTTATGTTGGGATAGTCAGTAATTACAATTACAATCTTAAATTTCCAGGAAGCCAGTACCTTCCGAAAGCTCTGTGCTAGTATGGCCGCCAGCGAACGCGTCACGCGCGCCCTACATGTCACTTACTATGCCGCCTCAGTTAGTCGATGGTCCGCTGTTGGAGCGTCGCACGCGATTTTGGGACACCATCTACGATAAGCACTACCGCACTCCAGTTTCTCCACCCACACCACCTCCAAAAATACACTCAGAGTTGTGATTGCGGTTATACATGACATTGTTTAATAGATTGATTATCTGGTATTAACTATTCATTGTAGTGTAACAATAAGAAAAGTTTTGGTCAGATAAACATTAGTTATAAAATTCATTATCAGAATACATACTATGATATTTGATAACCATGAAATGTAATATTGAATACTTTAAATAAGTAAATAAGAAAATAGGATTGTAACAATTCCATAACCAGGTACTGAGATACATACTTATAATTGTATTTGTATGTCAAATCAGGTGACTGTACAAGAGCACGTCAAGCTTGACACTATACTTTGGTCCGTTCTTATCGTAAGTGGCATTGAGTTGGATTTAAGTCTTAAGTGTACCTACGCAGGTAGAAGCTATTAAGTATGAAGAAAATAATATATGTGCAATTCATTGAATAAACATTATAAAAACCAGTTTTTCCTTTCACTTATATAAATACTAATAATATTCAATTAGGAAATGAAACTATTTTTCCGGATTTAAATCGCGTATGTTTCACAGGTTGACAGTGAGTCAACCGTGACCATGGACTTGTAAAGGGCCCGAAACGTTGATTTGTTTTAAAAAACAAAAATACGCATTTTTAAGTCCGGAAATATAGTTTCATTTCCTATGTATAACAATCGCGAAAACCTAGAAACTCAATATTCAATTAATTATTCAAAACCCTCGACAAAAAAGAGCGAACTCCAATAAATCAATAATAATTATATATGTTATTTTGTTATTGTTTACTCTTTACTATTTATGCATTTGGGGGTTATTAAAATTAAACAGCATAAGGCTATCTAAGTAGGCAACAAAACAACAATATTTTAATCTTGGATTATCAAAAAACTTTTCTATATTATGTACATACCAACGTTGTCTACTAGTTAAGAGCCGGCGGATTGCCCGACGCGGGCGATGCAATGACACCGAGTGAGCAACTGGAAAACGGAGCAGGCTGAGCATCTTTTAACTCTCCATTTTGTTTACTTATGGTTTCCCCTACCTTTAAGGGTTCTGTTCTTGAAAATGACGCGCAAAGGCAATCTAGGTGTTCCTGGCTACATGATGTACGAGTATGTGTTTTTATAGTTGGATCCAACGACTGCAAGAGGTCGGAGCGAAAAGCAAAGGTCATATATTTGTTTTTCGGCCATTAAGGGTTAATAAATTTTTTAAATAACCAGGTGTACACAACACTGAAACCACTCTATGTTGTGTTGAAAATCTTACTCCAGCTCTAGTGAAGAAGAGCAGTGTCATCAGTGAAAGTGAGGAAATTGGTTTTCTATTCCTTATTTACTACTATTACTTATTAATCTTATTTATCTATTACTTATTTTTACTGATTTGGTGCGAAACGACTACAAAACACCGGTAAATTTTTTAACTCGTGTGGCGCCCTATAATTTCCGGAATGAATAAGAAAACATACTGTAAATGGTCAGAAATGAATTTATTGTTTCTCAAAATATTCTCCGCTAGTGTTAATGCACTTTTTCATACGAATGAACTAATTTTGAAAACATTTGTAAATAACGCACACAATAACGCACACACTTAACATAGCCCCGTACTAGAGAAGCCCCGTGTCGCGGGTGCCATGGACATACACATAGACAACCACAATTTACACCCAAACTCACGAGAGAAATAAATGTAGGCCATACGAATATTTCTCCCGGCCCGGGAATCGAATCTGGGACCTCTGCGTGGCAGTCCAGCAGGGTAACAGTTCGGCCACGGAGGCAGTGAATATAAATTAAAAAAGTGCCACTCCTCCGTAACAATCTCTGAAACATATTTTTCATACTCTTCGACAGCTTCTTCAAGTGAAGAAAATCGTTGACTGCGTAACTGGTTCTTAATATTTGGAAATAAATAAAAATCACAAAGTGCTAGGTCGGGACTGTACGCGGGATGGCTCATAAGATCAACGTTGTTCACCTTCAAAAATTATTTGTCTGTCTGGCCGTGTAACAACTGGCATTATTTTGGTGCAATATGATACGGGTTCGCGTTGTACCGTGAATCACTATTCACGGTACAACGATTCTCCAAAGCAACAATAGCCACGTGTCCAGTTTTATTTAAAAAAAAGGAGCAATCATTCGCTTAGAGGCACTTTACACGCGCGCCACTTTGGTTGGTTTCGGCTCATCTCGAAAGACTCATACGTTCGATTGCTGCTATGTTTTGAGATCGTAACTATAAATCCATGTTTTGTTACCCGTTACTATGTCCCACACCAAATTTGACGCCCCTTCGTTGAATCTGGTAAGCATGGCATTGCACTAAGTGACGCGATCCGTTTTTTGAGCCTCAGTCAAATTGTGTGGTATCCACCGAAATCACAGCTTTTTTACACCCAATTGTTCCTGTAGTGACTGTATTTAACTCATGCCTATGCCTAAAGATCTCATATCATATGTAGCAGGCAGGCAGAAATAGGTAAGATGGACGAACTCTTTCACAACGACCTCTACTGCTACTAATACCAACATATAAATTACAATATATATAGACACATACACATATATACAATTACAATATATATACACACATACATACATACATATACATTTTTTTTTCGAGATTTTGCGATTTCGACTATTAAATTATGAATAATTATGATTTTCCAATCGTCTCTGAATTTTGAAAAGCAAAGAAGAGTAACTTTTGGTCATTTCGAAGTTTTTCAGACCTCATCAGTTTCAGATCTATTTCAATAATACTGAATCGCAGCAAAATATTTCAAAAAAATGTTCTTAATCAGTGTGTGCACGTTTTAACACTAATAACAAGTTGGTTTCACTCGGTCGCGGCCGTCGAGTCGGGCGGTCGCTCAACAACAGATGCAGGTGTCGAGTTGATGAAACACCTGTTTTATACATGGGATGATGTATTCTGTAACCTATCCAAGGCTTTTGATTGTGTACAATATACACCACAATCTGTCTGGAAACTTTGCCATTATGCTATGATGGGTCAGAACCTCGACCTTCTTAAATTGTATTAAAGTGATAAGGTCCAGAAGGTCCTTATCAATGGTGCGAAATCATCAGTTGTCCCTTAAGGTACAATTTTAGGTACATTTTTATTTTTACTTTATGTTTAATGTTTTACCTAGCCTCATGAAAGGTACAGAGCCTGAGAATGTATTGTTTGCTAGTGACTTTTCTTATTATTTGAAGTAAACGGCATCAATGTTCCTATGACGATGTGAACAATGTACTTAAAAGGTCGTTTGGTAGGTAAAGGTAGATTCGGTTAATAACTTGCTTCTTAATGAAAAAAGAAACGAATTGTGTGGAATTTGTATTACACAATGAGTGAGATTGACATTGTCAATGTCAATCTCACTCATTGGAGAGTACCGACTCTCAACCACAGTTGTTTATGACCGCACAAACAACACTATAACAAATGAAAAACGGAGCGCGACGTGATTAGCTCGCTCACAGTCATCAGCTCCCAAAAAATCTACTTATAACTCTTCTATGTCACAACTCTCCATGGTCTTCCCTACTCACTTAATGAACTAGTCTATATAAAGTTAGGCATTGTATGTATAGGTGTGCATGCTTCATCGTAGCCCTCATCTATCATCACTTTTCTTCAGGTGAGATGGAGGCCAAATGCACACTTATTTTGACTATTGACAATAAAACAAATTACTCTTAACTTTACATACTTAGCTAGTGACTTTATTAAAAATTAGAGATGATGTACGTATGATACGTAATTAAAGACAGAGTAACTTTGACTTTATGGTGTTATTTTTTATGAATATCATCATTATGTCGATTACGAATAGTTCATTATGAGGTACAGTCAAGAACACATCAAGCTTTACATTTTGTACTTTGAACTGTTCTTATCGTAGGCGACATAGAGTTGGATTTAAGTCTTAAGTGTCAAGCTTGACGTGCTCTTGAGCCTGTACTAAGGTACAAAATTTTTATTTTTTACATTTTATTTATGTAAGAGAAGTAAAATGTTTTTGTACATGTATTCAGCACCTAATTATCATCTTTTCAGGCTCCATTCCCAGTGCCGTTGTGGCTAGATACATTCGAAGCTGTAGATGAACATATTATGTGCCATCAATCAGTCTCATTTTCTAATTTTTTTCCCCAAGTAATATATGAAGATGACTGCTTTATCGCAAATGTATTTGTTCTTGACACAGAACAAACTAACTTACTAGTTATGGTTTATGTGCACGGCGGTGCTTATCAGATGGGGTACGGGAATATGTTCACACCAAAAGCCTTAGTCCTAGTTAGTTAGGGAACGCCGGAATGAAAGACCAAGTAGCGCTACTGCGCTGGGTACAGAAAAACATCGCCAAATTCGGTGGCAACCCTAATGATGTGACTATCGCCGGTTATAGCGCCGGCTCCTCTGCAGTTGATCTACTCATGCTTTCGAAATCTACAAAGGGTTTATTCAACAAAGTAATACCAGAAAGTGGTGCTAACGTCGGCGTATGGTCGGTTGCAATTAGTCAAAACTTCATGGACGTAGATGACTTTTACGCACTGGAAGAATTTTACAAAAGTACCTCGTTTGAGGTATTAACGACGAATAATTTTATAAATAGACCTGACTTGACCTTTATGTTCGTTCCATGGATCGAACGCTATACTAAGTCCGAAACGTTCCTTGATGATGCGCCTGTATACATATCCGCTCACACGATGCGCTCCTCCTACCGCAAAATGGCGGCTATTTGGTTTCGCAAAATAGAAAAGGATTCAGTTTAAATACAAGTTTTTATAAATAAAAATTATTATTCTGCATTGCTAAATACCCTCCGTACTACCAACAAAAACATCTCAAATAAAATGCAGTAATACACCGCAAATCCTGCACTTAAAAAGCACTAATGAAATTTTTGGTGTACTTGGATAAATGTGATAATATTCCGTTTCAAATAAAAGAATTTTATTTCGGGGACAAAGCTATTGCCGAGGAAACGATATTGGCGTACATCGATTACTTCACTGACGTTTTGTTTGCATATCCCACTTTAAGAGCTGTAAAATATCACGCAGAGGCAGGCAATAATCAAGTGTACCTGTATGAATACTCTTTCCCTGAGAATCAAATGCTGCCCAAATCAATACAAACCAAAATTAGGGGTGCAAATCACTGTGCACAGACACAAGCCGTTTTCGATCCACCACCTAAAGACAGCCCATGGGCACATTTAGACAATAAAAGTGAAGACTTTATAAGACTTAGGGCAATCATGAGGGAATTATGGCTCAACTTCATAACGACAGGGTATCGTATTATTTTTATTACATATATTTGGCGTCTTTTTTAGGTTACGAATATAATACCTCTGTAACGGTTAACTTGGTCATTCTCTGGTTCGCATGGTGAAATGCATTTTCTTTATAATTCACGAGCTCATCTCGCGTGCAAGTCCATGAGACGCGTCGACTAAAGTGAATAGTCCCTTACTATGCCTATGCTCTACGTACCTTTTCTCTTTACATTATTTGTTTTGATTGAAAATGTGGGCTAGACCACAATTTTTGCCGCTTAGTATTATATTACCTTCCTGTAGCACTGTAAAAATACTTATTTGGATTGTCAGTAATTTCAACTAAGTACAATCTTGAATTTCTAGCAAGCCGGTGCCTTCTGCAAGCTCCCTGCCAGCATGGCCGCCGGCGAATGCGTCGCGAGCGCCCTACATGTCTCTTACGATGCCGCCTCAGTTAGTCGACGGCCCGTTGTTGGAGCGTCGCACGCGCTTTTGGGACGCCATCTACGACAAGTACTATCGCACTCCAGTTCCTCCATCTACACCACCTCCTAAAATACACTCAGATTTGTGATTCTGATTATATGTAAAATTGTTTAACAGATTGCTAATAATATGATATTAAATATTTTGTGTAGTGTTAACAATATGAAAAATGTCTCGCATTAAAATATGTTATTAAATTCAAGCTCAAGATAGATATAGTCAATAAGATTAAAAAACAATGAAATATATTGACGTAGCGAAATCAAAATTATATTTTCATTAGAATCTCTGAAATCATAAAACATTTTGCTGAAATAATAGTTTATATTTAGACTACAACAATTCTATAACTGGTTACCGAGATTATTTAATTCCAATTGGCTACGTGTTTACATATCAATGCGGGTCAAAGGTATAACATCTACGCATGTAAAGAATTTAAGTATGCAGATAATTCGCTCCCTTGGAGTAATAAGGCCACATCTACAAAATGACAACTTATCATTAAATCTGTGCAATTTGTTTCACGTACTTTGTAATGTTTTTATGACTTTCATGCGATAATAGTACATTATGATACAAGTGTGCTAAGTTGGTAATTACACACGAGGCGTTATTACTCGCGCGAGCCGCAGGCGAGCGCGATAAGAAAGCCGAGAGTGTAATGATCAAAGCACACGTGTTTCATACGACGTTTTTCAACACATTTGCGAGGAAAATGAAACAAACTTGAGTAAAATGGAAATGAAAAATAGCTTTATTTGGCATTAATTATACAGATACACTGAATACTATATTAAGCTCACGTTAATGTAAATAATATTATTCTATTCTATACTATATCTATCAATAGCAATTAATTAAGAGTCTCCAAAGCCTATCAAAGTCATTGTATCTTGATTTTATCAAAAATGTAGTTATTTAAATTTAATTATTAAAACAATTGTTAAATGTACAATTTTCAAAATGGTAACGTGCAGTTTTGTTAGGCATTTGAACCGTCTGTGTGATATTATTTGTTACTATTTCATTATTGTCTTCTTGCGTAAAAGTCGGTGATACGGGTTCATTGTGTACAAATATGGATGAAAGTGGTGGTGGTTAATTTAAAGACTCAGAAATAGACAACCTAGGTAACAAATAACTTGTATCACGGGAGGTGGATGGCTGCGGTTCAGGACACATCTTCTTAACCTGGGGCTCCAGATTTATAGCGTGGGTTATTTGAGTACATATGTTGGACTTATTTCGAACTGAATCTTCAACATAAGACTCAGCAACTGTGCTAGATCGCCAGCCACCATGACGCTTTAAAGTAAGCAAATCAGCTCCCGAGTCAGCTAGCAATGTAGCTGATGTTCTTCGGAAACTATGCCCAGTGTATAAATCCGGGTCGGGTAGATTTAAAAACTTGGCAATTTCTTTAGGCATTGCACCAAATTTATTAATGCCTATTGGCTGAGCCACGCATCTACCCTTCTGGTAGTTTTGAAAAAACCGATCGGATTTTGCCTTATCTGTCCTAAGCGCTTCGTACTTTTTTACTATGTCGTAAAATGGACCGTGAATGGCAAACGATCTCGGTACCTTATTTTTAGTGTTGTTCATTTTAATCGAAAGCATTTGGCCATGAGTTTCTACGTCTTTTGCCGTTACTTCGCTTAGTTCTTGGCGTCTACACGCGCCAGTGACACCAAATATCATTGCAACCTGTAAAGAAATTAAAAATATAGGTATTTTCGCAAATATAATACAAGAAAAATGAAAACATAAAAAAATTAAGGTTTAATACGATCAACTGACCTTTGTTGCTAAATACTGATAATCGGGGGCTTCTTTTAAAAACTTTTCGACGTCAGTTGGCGAAAGTACCTTCGATTTTCTTGCAACATACCCATCAGAGCGTCTCTTTAAAAATGCCGTCAGATTTGAATAGTTTTTTATGTCTATGTTATTCTTGTTCTTTACTGTGGTCTTTAACATAGAATAAATGCACCAGAGCGAGCTGGGCTTAAACCTATTCGCCAGTTCATTAAAATAGGCAAGAAAAACATTTTCTGAAAACGAAGACGCTTTTTTGTTGGTTTTCCATTGTATAAAAGTTTCATATGCAGCCATGTATTTTTCTCTGGATTTCGAAGGTAATAAACTGTCACTTGCGTTTTGTGCCTCTGTGAGGATTTCGGGCGGTGTTAAATCCATCAAAATGTTTTCTTCCGTGCTTGAGCAGGACATTTTAAACACCTAGGTAATTATCTAACACACAGCGTATATAAATGTTTCGAACGTATCAATGGAAATTGGCGCGCAGAGTTATTTTTTCTGCGCCTGGCGCCGCGGCGCGGATATGCGCGCGCAGGTGCTTCGGCAATAATGAGACTTAGGTGAAATTCCTAAACAGCCAATGCGAAATAATATAAATATGTCCTTATTTCACTCAAATTCGTGTAAAATATTATCCAAAATAAGTAATTTTATTCAATTAAAGTTTTATAGGTGTATATTGTGTATGTTTTTCTATATTTATCACATCAAATAAGAAATATAAATTTATTAATAAAAATATTATTTGTAAGGTAAGACTACACAACCGTATTAAACAGAAATAAAAAAAAAACTGTGACCCTGTTTGTTTGGGATTACTGTCATTGTAATTTGAATCTTGTAATATGTGGTTAGAGCTGTTTTTTTAATAGACCAAGTTAATTTCAAAGACATAACCCGGATAATTTAAGAATGCATAGTTTTAATACATAGGCCTTGTTGTGAGATACATCTTAATCCGGTTAAGCCTATACTTATTACACACACGTTTTGTAATATAATTACAAACGCGTGTTCAATAGCTAGGTTTATGAGCCTAAAAGCGATACAATAAGAAGCCCGTTACGAGCAAATGTGTTGAAAAAGTACTTTTGATGTATGTGATGACGATGATGTGATGAGGGTCCGAATTATAAATGGACAATTTATGGAATAAACGTTATAAAACCCAGTTTGCCTTTTTATTTATTGTTTTAGAAAGACAATAATAAAATCGTAACAGCGCGGAGAAGTGAAAGGAGAAGAACATGCTCTCGATTACTGCTTGAAATATTTCCTTGTTCGATACCAAAATTGATAAAACCAAATTCAAATATATGTTAACTGACATCATACTATCTAAACATCATATAATTAAGATGCTGAATGGTATCTTAGACGGGGACAAACAAAAATTACGTCTATTATTGTTTGTAGATGGTTATACCAGCCCCGAGATGCGTACGAAACCTGCGTGCGAGTAGACATTCTAAAAAAACATTACTCTTTTCCATGGCAGTTGAGCAACTATCCATACCCATTTCTCGGCAGTAACGAAAAAAGATAGCACGCAAATGTGTTAAAATGTTGACTATTATAAGTGTGCAACGTGTCGACCACCTCGGTGCGGTGGTCCGACGGTTTGTGCTATGGACGCTGGTTAAGGAGATCCCGGATTCGATTTACTGTAGGACCAATTTGAGAAAGAACGTTTCTAACTTGGTATTGATCTGTGTGTACACTGTTCAGGGTTATTATGGTACTCCTAATAGGTACAGGAAATTCCTTAGTTTGAGACAAGGTAATAAGTGTGGTGATCTGATACATTAGTCGGATGCTACGTAGATGATGTCTGCGTAAATAACATAAGTTACGCAGACGACATGGTGCTATTGGCTCCATCAGTCAGCGCGCTACGATACTTGTTGCTGTCTGCGAGTCATTTGCCGCGTCACACGGTCTGGTATGTAATGTAAAGAAGTCAGAGGTCATGGTGTTTGCGGAAGGAAGTCAAAGTCCTACTGTTGTTTAAATTTGAATATCTAGGATATTTAATTAAACCTGATCTCAGAGACGATGATGATATGGAGAGGGAACGGAGAACTTTGTCAGTAAGGGCCAATAATGTTGGTTCACAGGTTTCCTCGATGCTCTGCTGCAGCCAAGATAACTCTTTTCAAGGCTTACTGTTCTTTTTACGCGGGTAGCCTGTGGAACCGACATACACACAAGTCGTACCTTGCTCTCCGCACCAATGCTTTTAGGATGCTGTTGCGGCTGCCGAAGTTCTGTAGTGCGTCTGCAATGTTTGCGGAAGCGCGGACAGACTCCTTTACTGCCATATTAAGGAAGAAAATCGGTTCTCTCTTAAACAGGCTTCGTAACAGTAGCTACAGCATCCTGAAAATGATTGCTGAGAAAGTGGAGGGACCTCTCATATCGGATCTTTGTTTAAAATAATTTACTAACATAGTGCATGTTACTAATTTAATATGGATTTATTTTGTCCGAAAATAAATACACAATAATGATTACTGTTTTTGGTTATATGTACGTTGGAAACTTATTCTATGTGAATTCACCGTATGACACTTATTATCCATTTTAATCTCATTCGTCATTTGTACTTTAAAACTGCTTAATTATTGAAAAAAGTAGATAAACCAATTTTATTGCAATACACTGATGTTACAAGAATTGATAAGGAAGAGCGAATAGGCCAATTATCAATCCACCAACGTTTCTTATTTAATTACTACCTGACTATAAGTTGACGATGTACCCACATCGCGTTTCCCTCAACATATGCCATACGACATTGTCCGACATTACGTTATAGCAAACCGAAGCGCAAAAAACAATCGAGGAAAACCAGTCTAGAAACTGTTTAGTGCAATGTTAGTTTAATATAATTAATGTAGCAGTAAAATGTCA